ACTCCGTCATCTCTTTTACAAGATGAGCAGTCCTAGTCCTTTTAATCTTTCCTCATATGGAAGCTCTTCCAGACCCTTAATAATTTTTGTTGCCCTTCTCTGTACCTTGTCCATTTCCAATATACCTTTTTAGATATGGGACGACCAAAATTGTACGCAGTATTCAAGGTTTGGGCATACCATGGATGTTTATAGAGGCATTATGATATTTATTGTCTTATTATCTGTCCCTTTCCTAATGGTTCCTAATACTCTATTAGCTCTTTTAATTGCCACTGCCTATTGAGCTATCCACAATGACTCCAAGACCTTTCTTGAGGGATAACAGCTAATTTAGACCCCATTATTTTGAATGTGTAATGAATAGGGATTGTTTTCTAATACGCATTATTTTGCATTTATCAAAACTAAATTTCATCTCCCATTTTGTTCCCCAGTCAGCCAGTGTTATGAAATCCCCTTGTAACACTTTGCAATCTGCTTTGGACTTAACTATCTTGAGTAATTTTGTATAATCTGCAAATTTTGCCACCTTTACCCCTTTTTCCAGATCATTTATGAACATGTTGAACAGCACTGGTCCCAGTATAGATCCCTGGAGGACACTGTTATTTATCTGTCTCCATTCTGAAAACTGATCATTTATTCCTATCCTTTGTTTCCTGTTTCTTAATCAGTTACTGATCCATGAGGATCTTCCCTCTTATCCCATGACTGCTTAGTATACTTAAGAGCCTTTGCTGAAGGACAGTTTTTCAGAAAGCCTCTAGCAAAGTATACTATATCCACTGGATCCCCCTTGTCCACATGTTTGTTGACTCCATCCCTTCAAAGAATTCTAATAGATTGGTGAGGCATGATTTCCCTTTATAAAAGCCATGCTGACTCTTCCCCAAAAATCATGTTCATCCATGTGTCTGGTAATTTTGTTCTTTACTAATACTATAGATCCAATGAATTTGCCTGGTACTGAAACTGGCTTACTGGCCTGTAATTGCCAGGATTGCCTCTGGAGCCTTTTTAATTGGCATCATATTAGCTCTCTTCCAGTCATCTGATATGGAAGCTGATTTAAGTGATGGCTTACATACCACAATTAATAGTTCTGCAATTTCATATTTGAGTTCCTTCAGAACTCTTCGGTGAATATCATCCGATCTTGGTGATTTATTACTGTTTATCAATTTGCTCCAAAACCTCGTCCATTGACACCTCAATATAGGACAGTTCCTCAGATTTGTCACTTAAAAAGAATGACTCAGGTGTGGGAAGTCTCCCTCCCATCTTGGGCAGTGAAGACCAATGCAAAAAATTTATTTAGCTTCTCCACAATGGCCTTTTCTTTCTTGAGTGCTGCTTTAGCACCTTGATTGTCCAGTGGCCCCACTTATTGTTTGGCAGGCTTCCTGCTTCTGATGCACTTAAAAAAGATGATGATAGTTTGAGTCTTTTGCTAGTTGCTCTTCAAATTCAGAGAGAACATAAGACTGATCGGGGTGATGTTCCTGCTCAGACAGCTGCAAGAACCTACCCATTGCACATGCAGTTGGAGAGCTCAGGAGAAGTCTTAGCAGCACCAGAAGCTCTGTGGAGGATTGGAGAATTAATGCAAATGAAATAATGCCGGCTTTGTGAGGTACATCTGGTACAGGGTTTAGTAAGTTGTATGTGGCTACGTGCCTCCTTTTGATTTTCAGAGCTTAACTAAAAATATAGGTAAGGTGGATATGTATCAACATAAGAAACTGGGAGAGAGGAAAAACTTGAATATAAAATTTTTGATTTAAAAAACACTGAAAAGTTGTTGTTTTTTAAAAATGGAAATACACATTTAAGGTACGTACTTTCCCCCTTCCCACAGACAACCTTAATCATGATCTTCAAAGAATAATAAAATGGTTGGGTTCTTTTTATGATATATAAAGGCAGGATTTTGTCACCAAAATTTTGCTTGATTTAGTTTAGCTTTAGTAATTCAGGGTGGGTCCATCCTCGTAGAATGTGTGATGACTGAAGAACATATGAAACATGAGATTGAGCCTGGAAGTGGAGCATTTAAGAGGGGAAGGGATTTTGTGTCTGTTTAGAACTTTTGTTAAACCCTATTTAATTCCAGTGCTTAACTGACAGAGAAAAAAGGATGTTTTGGTTAAAAATCTGACATTGCCTTCAATTAAAGGCCTCCTAAAGTGGTAGGGAAAGCTTGTGGGGGTCAGAGCATCAATACTGTTTTACAACAAAGCCAAGGAAGGCTAAACTTGACACACCTAACTTTTTTTATTTAACTTTTTTATAAAGGCATCCTTTATGATTAACTGCTCCTCCCTCACATGCCAATTTAGCACCAAGCTTTAAGATAGCTAGCAAATATAAGACTATCTACGTAACAAGGCAGATATGCACGATAGTAGTAACCAAGGGAGGTTTAAAAAAAAAATGCTGTCTTTCCTGCAACAGCTGTGCAGTTTTATACTAAGATGAAGCTTTAAGAGTATCTCAAGCTGTGCCTATTACGCTGCTGCAATATAACTGCTGGTGTATAAGATGCTGGGATGAGTCTATCACACTGCAGCAGGGAAATTCAGAACCATGCAGTTGAGGGGGAAGTGGGTTGACAAATGAAGAACTGAAAAGGAAAGGAATTAAGCATGGCAGAAATACAGTAATTTACTCTAATTAGCTGTTACATAGTGCTTGTTACCCAAAGATCTCAAAGCACCTTATATATAGAGAGAGAGGAAACTAAATACAACTGTCCCTGTTTTACAGATGAGTTGAGAGGTGAAGTGATTGCCCCATGTCACACTTAAGTGGCACAGCCAAAAATAAAGCAAGGGTGAGTCCCAGTTCAGTGTCTTATCCCAAGGACTGCATTGTGACTAACTGTTCAACTCAGAAAATTCCTTTTTGACCATCTATCTGCCCTTTTTTAATTAACTGCTGTTAACAGTATAGCATCTTATAGTGTTCTAGCTATTAGTATAGAATTTGCAATGTTTGACCTATAATATTGTGCATAGGGACTACATAACTTCCCAGGCTGTTTTTATTATTCATTTGCTCTGAAAGCCTCTCCTCTGCAAGTAAGTTCTGTTATGGCATAAAAGTTATGTGAGCCATGCATTTACCTGATTAGTGTGCACCGTTGAACTGCAGGAGCTCTAACAACCTAATGGTGGTGCCTTTACCATGCGTTGTTAGTATTAACACTAGTTAAATTACTGTATTTGCATTACTCCAACAGTTCCCTGCCAAAACTTAACTCATGACTTAAAACCTACTTGCAACTGATGAGTGAAGCTTTCCCTGGCACTTCAAGAAACTAAACCATCTGTTTTTGGATTTTTTTAGAAGTTTCTAGTCCATATGACTGTGAGGTGAACTTGAATAAACTGAAGCAATGTTGTCTTCCTGACTAAAGACAGATTGTTTCAGTCCCTCTGGGACTGCTCAAAGATCTTCCAAGCAGCAAACAAAGTAATAGCTCTCTAGACAGTTGGCATGCTGGTACTCAGAATCTGGTGGGAGAGTGGAAGAATGACAAAAAGAATGACAAAAAAGTGAATTTCACACTACTGCTGGAAAAGCTAGGGGCAGCACATGTGGCACCTGAGCTGTTGTCTCAGGAACAGAGGTAGATCTCCCCAATCTTGCATGACGACTTTAAGTAGTAAGTAAATAATAGTGAGATATGTCAGGGTCTGAAAAAGTTAGGTGGAAAGCAACCCCTCCCCCCCAAAAAAGAAAAGAAAAAAAGCTGCTTATTTCAAAGTTAGACAAAGGAACTGTGAAGTCAGTATGTAACTTATATTTTTAAAAATACATATGTATTGCATATAGACAATTGAACACAGATGGACATTTAACTTAAATCATATTTCTATATGAAATCTACTTACTATAGTTACATGTAACATTACAGTGCCTGAACGATTAGACAAAAACTTTATTTACCTTATACACCTGTACATTGTCAGATTCACTATTACCATGTATGTTGGACCTTCACCACATTTAAAAACAACTAAACTACTAAAATGGGCAGGGGAGTCAGCAGCAGGTGTAGTACCTGAAACTACTTAACTACATTATTGAAACAGAACAGACTGGTTGTTAAGTGTCTCAAAGTGATTAGAACTTAGTGTGTTTAAAAAAGTTTCCAACTGTTACTTGAGAATATATACAGAACTGTAAAAAAAAACTCAACTACTGTAGCTTACCATGATACTGCCTTTAATAACAGAACTTTTACATTTGCAGAAATGTAATTTAAAATCTCAGTAACTGCAGACTTCATATGAATAAAAGTGGTTCTTTTTAGTGTCTTCAGTGTACATAATTTGACAAAGAGATGAATCAATCTTTAGCACTGATGTGATTTTATAGGAAACACTAAATTGCACTGTCATCTTTTGTTCCAACACAATGACAGTAAAATTAGCTAGAAAGTATAGCAAACCAATTCACATTACAATTAATAGGATACTACAAGGTTTTGAAGGTGATAAGCAGTGCAAGTTTTCACTAGTTGTGTTTGTCATCTATTTCACAGACCCTCATGTAGCACTTTTTAACATATTTAAAACATGTTGTCCTTTATGTCTCCAAAGCATGGTAACAAAAATATTAACTAATCCACACAAAGGCTCTGTGAGGTAGGTAATTGTTTTTACTTACATTTTATGAACAGTGAAGCTGAGGCAGGGAGGGTTTAAGTATTGCCCAAGGCCGTAATGTCTGTGTTAGATAAATGATTTCAAATTGATGAATTATTCGCTCCAAACCCTAGTTAGTTTAGTAGACCATGCTGCACACGTAGGCCTACATTTTCAAGTTCGGGTACTTAACAATTGGCACCTAAATTCATAGTTAGGTCCCCAAATAAATGGCTTAATTTTAGACCTTGTGGGTTCTCAGCACCTCTGAAAGTCAGGCCATTTATTTAGAGGCCTAAAGATGGATTTTAGGTATCTAATATCTAGATTAGGGGCACATTTTTAACTAAGGCTAAGGTAGGCTACATGACAGATCAGAATTTTTTGCTGTTCTCATTTGACATTGATGAACTAATGGAAGCAGCTTGCCTTCCTGGTGAAGCTTTTGAGTATCTGTAGCACCTCCGATGAAAGCCCCATTAATAAACACTCTTGGAACCTGTTAAGTATATAAAAATTACATTATTAGTAAATTACATTAGTTATTGGAGGTAGGCTAAAAAACAAGTGTGGTCATGCATACTGCCATATAAACTTAGGAATGCTATACTTGACATACTTGCTATTTGATGCACCATATTAGTGGACAGTCTTACATTTCCATAATAACTTTCTATAAAAGGGGTTCTGAGATGCTTTTTATTAAACAGAGGCATCACTGCACCTTCTCCTTAAAAGTAATATGTATCATTTGCACATCGGTTTAGAACATGCAGTGAAAAAACACTTGATTCAAATGAAGTTACAGGGAATTTTTACAAAGGCAGAATGTAATTCCAAAAGGTGCCAGGATACTGGGGCTAACACTTCTACCCAAGCAAAAAGTGTCCCTGATGGATTTCAGTTTTGTGTCTTTGATGTGACCTTTGTTTAAAGTCTCATCTGAAAGACAGCAGGATCAGCAGTACAGAAACTATCATGACTCTGGAGTGGTACGTCAGCACCATGAGGAATGTGAGATACCTTACAGAAGCTTTGCTACAGCTTCCTCAAGCACCTTGTGTTTTACTTAGGAGCTCATATATAAGGTTCAACGCAGCTAGCATGCAAGATCTGATGAGGTCACAATTGGTGGGCTATTGCTTCAGTGAATTAGCCCTCCCTCTATTTTAGTTACTACGTCTGAAAAGATGTACTCACTGTCCTGCCACCAGTCATTTGATGAAGAATGTCTTGAAACTGGCTTCCATTTTCATACATGTCTAGTTCTATTGCTGTGTAATTTACATTCATATCCTGGAACAGTTTCTTTGCCATTTTGCAGTAGCCGCACGTTGTTTTAGAGAAAATCACTACACAGTTGTCCGAAATGGTTTCCTGTATTTTTTTTAAAAAAAGGTTGAGTCAATGTATTCTGCACACGGGTACTAATTAAATGAATTAATTTATCACATTCTTAAAGATAAAGTCTTAGACAAAAGCAATATGTTTTGTCTTTTCATTATGGTAACAAATTCCAAAAATTATAAGTAGGTGTTTCCAGTGAGGTCCCGGAAGGATTAGTTCTTGACCCTATGCTATTTAACATTTTTTATCAATGAGCTGGAAGAAAACAAAAGATCATTACTGATTAAGTTTGCAAGAGACACAAAGATTGGGGAAGTGGTAAATAATGAAGAGGATAGATCACTGTTAAAAAGTGATCATGATCACTCTGTAAGCTGGACACAAGCAAACAATATGTGTTTTGAAATGGCCAAATGTGAAGTTCATATCTTGAAACAAAGAGTATAGGCTATACTTACAGTACAGGGGACTCTATCCTGGGAAGAAGAGAGTCTGAAAAGGATTGGGGGAAGGAGGGGTGTCATGGTAGTGGTGGATAATCAGCTCAACACAGGCTCCGAGTGAGACACTATGGCCAAAAGGGCTAATACAATTCTTGAATGTATAATCAGAGGAATAGTGAATAGGAGTAGAGGTGATATTTTACCTCTGTAAGGCATACATTTTAACAGCGAGGGCAATTAACCACTGGAACAATTTATCAAGGGCTATGGTAGTTTCTCCATCACTGGATACCCTTCTAAAAGTTCAAACAAGAATTTAATTCAGGGACATTGTATAGCCTGTGTTATGCAGGAGATCATTCTAACTGTTCACAATGGCCCCTTCTGGCCTTATAACCCATGAAGCAGGACTGGCTGGGGAAGAAGACTAGTACAAGGAGCTGGAGGGGAAACTAGGACTGGCTGGACAAGGAGAGCGGGATTTGGATGAGAAGCCGGAGGAGTGGAGATTGGGTAGGGGAGAAGAAAGGGACTGGGATGAGAAGCCAGGAGTGTGGAAGAGAAAGGACTGGCACAGGGACAAGCTGTAGAGGATGGGTGAGAAGGGGCCCCCACTTGAGTGGGGTAGTGGACAGAAGCGTTTGGGACCACTAAAGCGCACTCTCCTCTAAAACACACTCAAAAGTTAGAGGGATAGGCTACCTTAATATTGACGTTTCCTGACTTGAGTTCTTGATTTTGTAACCTTAATAATGTACTTTTAACATAATGTGTGTGTGTAATTTTATATTGTTTGGGTGATAAAATGCAAGGGTGGTCCAAGGAAAACACCTCTAAAGAGATTTGAAGACAGACCATGGACAAGGCATGATAAACCCCAGGGAACAGGACACTGTAGGGGGCTGGAATGATAGGATGGACCTTTCCAAGAATCCCCAAAAATGTAACATGGCTGTGATAAGTCACCTAAAGGTAAAAATGATGCAGGTCTGACAGGCTTTGTAGTCAAAAGATGAATGTGGAAAAAAGGATAAAGTTCTTTCTAGAAATGTAAAACTATTACACCTCTACCTCGATATAACGCTGTCCTCAGGAGCCAAAAAATCTTACCGCGTTATAGGTGAAACCGCATTATATTGAACTTGCTTTGATCCACCAGAGTGGGCAGCCCTACCCGCCCGGAGCACTGCTTTACTGTGTTATATCCGAATTCGTGTTATATCGGGTCGCGTTATATCGAGGTAGCGGTGTACTTTACGGGAGCTAAACCTGAGATATTTTCTAGCTCTCATTGCTTAATTAATTGGTTTCATGGGATTTAACCCCTCCCCTCCTCCAAGACATCATCATTTAATAATGACACCAGTGGTGAACGTAACTGATTTAAACGGGACACTGTGAAAGTATAAGGGTCTGCCCACATGGATTAGATTGCAGAACTGGAGTTCAAAAGTATAATACATTATTTACTGGACTAAGTTTACAGATCAGATTCTGTAGCCTGATGTAAGAAAAAAGCAATCCTTGTACCAATTAGAAAAAAAAAAGGAAGTTAGTAAATTACTATCCCTTTTTCAAAGGCTAGAAATAATAATTCTTTCTGAATAATAAATGACCCCTTTATTTACCTGGATCTTGTTCACAGTAGCACCATTAGACAATCCCATTGAAGTAGATGGACTATTTCCCATTCTAAAAATAAAAATGTTAGATAGATAGACCTATAAAACCTCTTTTTGAAAAACTGTCACTCATTTTTATGGTTCTCAAGTTATTTTAAATATGATACTAAGGCTTTCTGTCAAAACAACTTCACTACCCCTACCCCATTTTTTACCTATCTGCAAAGTGCCCAGAACAGAGACAGCTTGACTCAGTCTATTCATACTTCAGAAACCCACTGGTATCCCACGATTTTGTCTCTGCAGGCTTTGGCATTGCACAGCAGTCATTACTTTGAACTGAATTACAGAAACATTACTTTTTAAAATGCCATCTAACAAAGGGATTATCTACATTAGAATGCTTTGCTTCTTTAATTATGCTGGTGTAATTGAAGCGGCAAACCCACCCTAGCCAGGATTCAGTTGCAGTGGTCCAAAGGTACCTGCCCTGGTATAGCTTATTCTGGTCTGCCTGCTAGAGTTTACAGGGGTGTAACTTTATCCTTAACACAACAACAACCACACTCGATCTCCCTCCCCCAGTTTACTATACCAGTGTAACTCTTCCAGTCCTAGGAGACCAGACCGGTAATGGTATGGAGGGGATGTGTCTCTGTCCCCCGTTTGCCTTGGGCTCGGCTGATGCATCTGCCCGGATGCGGCGGTGCCGCTGAGAGCTGTGAGGCAGGCAGACCCCGTGGGGGATCGGCTGCCGGCGGCTAGCAAGCTCAGCCGGCTTGGCTCGCTCCCTGCCGGGCTAGGAGTGCCCAGCACCAGGGGAGCAGATCCTGAGCGGGGCTCGGCCCCAGCGCCCTGCCCCGATGGGCGGCGAGGCCGGGCGCGGGCCGCACCCCTGCTCGGCGGCGACACGGGGTCGGTGACAGTGGGGCAGCCCCGCAGCGGCCACGGAACAAGCGGGCGACCCCACCGGGGGGAGAGGCCGAGCCAGGCAGAGCCAGAACCGCCCTTCCCCGGAGCCCCAGGTGGGTGCGAAGTCCCGACCCCGCCGCACGGACCTGAGCCGGATGCCGGCGGCGCGCAGGGCTCCCCGCAAGGGCACCATGGGCTCGCCGGGCCGGGGGAGGAGCCCGGCCACCTCCTGCGCGAGCTGGGCTGCCCGCCACGCTGCCTGCCCGCGTCTCGCGCGACCCCCGTCGCCGCGTCCCTCGCGGCCTCCTCCCTCCCCGGAGCCCAGGGACCGCCCCGCCCCCAGCGCTGGCCCGGGAGAGCAGTCCCTGCTCCGCTCCCGGCAGCCATTTGTTGGTCTCCCCCACCCGCTTTCATCCAGAACCCGACCCCACTCCACACCCTTGCCCCCCTTCGCAGCCATGGTACCTGAGCCGCCTTCTGCTACTGCATTAAGCGATGGGCGGCACATCTGTCAACCGGTGGTTGCGTGCTCCTGTCCCCTGGGGGAGAGATGGGCACAGTGCAGTGGCTTTTTTGGGAGAGGCCAGTTAGGTGTTAACGCCACATTCTTATGTATTGGTGTCAGAGAAGGCAAGGTCAAAGAAACGCCTTGGCACAGGGAGCAGAAGGTGGTGAGGTTTGTGATGGTTCTTGGGTGAGTTTATGCCAGCAATGCCCCTCTGCCATGTACATTGGCCAAACTGGACAGTCTAGGCAAAACAATAAATGGACACAAATCAGACATCAAGAATTGTAAGATTCAAAAACCAGAAGGAGAGCACTTCAATCTCCCTGGACACTCAATAACAGACTTAAAAGTAAAAACGAAGAGTACTTGTGGCACCTTAGAGACTAACAAATTTATTTGGGCATAAGCTTTCGTGGGCTAGAACCCACTTCATCAGACGCATGCAGTGGAAAATACAGTAGGAAGATATATATATATATATATATATATATATATATATAGTACATGAAAAGATGGGGGTTGCCTTACTAATTCTAACGAGACAATTCAATTACAGTGGGCTATCATCAACAGGAGGAAGAATCACTTTTGTAGTGGTAACCAGAGTGGCCCATTTCAAACAGTAGAGAAGAAGGTGTGAGTAACAGTAGGGGGAAATTAGCATGGGGAAATTAGTTTTTATTTCTTGTAATGACCCATCCACTCCCAGTCTTTGTTCAGGCCTAATTTGATGATGTCCAGTTTGCAAATTAATTCCAGTTCTGCAGTTTCTCGTTGGAGTCTGTTTTTCAAGTTTTTGTTGTTGAAGAATTGCCACTTTTAGGTCTGTTATTGAGTGTCCAGGGAGGTTGAAGTGTTAAAAGTGGCAATTTTTCAACAAAAAAAGTCAAAAACAGACTTCAATGAGAAACTGCAGAACTGGAATTAATTTGCAAATTAGGACACCATCAAATTAGGCCTGAATAAAGACTGGGAGTAGATGGGTCACTACAAAAAGTAATCTTCCCTCTGTTGATACTCACATCTTCTTGTCAACTGTTGGAAATGGGCGATGTCCACCCTGATTGCATTGGCCTCATTAACACTACAAAAGTAATTTCCCACTCTGTTGATATTCACCCCTTCTTGTCAACTGTTGAGAATAGGCCACTTCCACCTTAATTGAATTGGCCTCATTAGCACCGACTCCCCCCCACTTGGTAATGCAACTCCCATCTTTTCATGTGCTGTAATATATATACTGCTTACTGTATTTTTCACTCCATGCATCTGATGAAGTGGGTTTTAGCTCACGAAAGCTTATGCCCAAATAAATTTGTTAGTCTCTAAGGTGACACAAGGACTCCTCGTTGTTTTTGCTGATACAGACTAATACACCTACCACACTGAAACCAGTCTTAGGGTTGGTTTACACTACACAGCTAGGTCCACATAAGGCAGCTTACCTCGACCTAATTATGTCATTACAGCCTTCCTCCCGCCACTACAGTAGTAAGTGCCTACTACACCAACATAATAGCTCCACCGCCACCAGAAGCATTAGGCTTATATCCCTGTAGTTAGGTGTATCACTGCAGACACTGCATCCCTTTCATTGGCTGTTGGCTGTCTTGTTAATTTCAGGGCAGGAGCCCTGAAATTGACACGAAAGCCAGACAACTAGAGCCCAGCTGCCCCCCTGCTCCCCTGGGAGCCAGGGTAAGAAGCCCACACAGCTTTCCCCCACCCTTCCCCACTTCCAGCTAGGACCAAGCGCAAGAAGCTGGGCAGGGGGACTGAGAAGCCAGGGCAGCTGGAGCCCACTCCCCAAGGCGAGAAGCCCCAGGAGGCTTCCCCTGGCTCCTAGCGGGGAATGGGGAGGGGAGAAGCCCCGGGGGAAGGCTCCTGGCAGGGAATGGGGAGAGGAGAAGTCCTGGCCGCGCAGCTCCTGGCCAGGAACAGGGAGCAGAGGGAGGAGGCAGCCTCCCAGGAGCCCAGGAGGCAGCCGGGCTCCTGGCAGGGAGCTGCCAGCAGAGCCAAGAGATCTCTCAGCACCTTGCACTGCCCCTCTTAGGTTGGTGGAAGCATTCCCTGTGAGAGCGCATACCACCGACCCAAGGAGGGTAGTGTGAACATACACCACCACAGTCATTATTGCGGTGACTGTAAACTGGCCTAATATAGGTCGACTCAAGTTTCTAGTATAGACATAGCCTGAGGCTGGTAAAGTTCTGTTTCTTGCATGATGAAGTTTTACCCATGTTATTTATAAAGAGTTCCATTGTGCCACAAGAGAAAGTTGTCAGCACTCTTCTCCCTGGAGCTGAAGGGGTCTTTTAGATATTCTGGGCGCAGGCCATGTCGTGCCTTGAAGATCAGGCCTTGAACTTTATTTGGTATTCTATGGGAAGCCAATTTAGAGAGGAGAGGAGAGGTATGAGGTGCTTGCAGCAGCCTATCTTGCTGAGGAGACATGGTGCAGTGGTGTATACTAGTTGGAGTTTCCTGAGTGCTGAAGACTTCATGTCCAGGTTTATCACATTGCTGTAGTTCAGCTGAGAGGTGATGAAGGCATGAATAACTGAGGCCAGGTCATCGTTGACCAACATGGGATGGCATCTTCTAGCCAATTGGAGATGATAGAATGAGTCACTCTCAGATACTTCTGTGTGAGAGCTTAGCATCAGCAAGGAGTCCAGACTGAATTGAGCAATTTTGGGTGTGTACCTTCAGCCAAAGGATTCTGCATGGTGTCTGCAGACTTTTCAAAGGGCTTTCCTCTGGCCACCAGCATCATCTCTTTTTTGCTCTTTTAGGTTCAGCTAAACTTCTCTCAGCTGTTCATCCATGAGCCGATCTCATCCGAGCACTGGGCCAGCTTGATGGCAGTGGTGTGGTCATAAATGGTGAAGGATAGATAGTGTCATCTGCCTATTGGTGGCACTTGAGTTCATGTTGTCTGACCAGTTTGTCTTTGTTTTAGGGTATGTCTACACTACAGGATTAATCCGAATTTAGATAATTCGAATTTGGGAAACAGGTTGTATAAATTCGATTGTGCGCGGCCACACTAAGCACCTTAATTCGGTTTTAAACCACATTAATTCGGTGGTGTGCGGCCACACTACCCCATTAACTTAAACACAGTAATTCGGTGGTGTGCGTCCACACTAACCCTAATTCGAATTAACAAAATCGATTTAGGCTCTACTCCGTTCGTCGAGGTGGAGTACAGAAATCGATTTAAAGGGCCCTTTAATTCGAATTAACTGGCTCTGTAGTGTGGACGGGTGAAGGGTTAATTCGGATTAAGGCAGCTAAATCCGAATTAAAGTCCTAGTGTAGACCAGGCCTTAGAATCCCCAGGTCACACAGGTCAATTTCAGAGCTGAGAAAAGAAGCCAAGAGTATTGCTTCCTATTCCTGCCAGCCAACCACTGGGAAACACTAGAGCAGTTTGCTCATACCTCTCCTGTGTCAGCTCTCCATCTCATTTTAAATCTCCATTGCAAAGTTTTTCCTTTGTAGTTTCTTTCTTGCTCTTCTATTACTTATCTGTGTAATTGTATTACAATGCAACTTCAAATATACAAACAAAATCTTCCTGTTATATGAAACAGTCATGAAAAATCCATACATTACCTGAATCCTCAATTATCTGAACATATTCAATATTCCTCATGACATTTGGATAATCAAGGTTGTACAATATTTATCTCTGAAAAGCATTTTACGATACAGTCTGTATGAAAGAGGCTACAGAAAATAAAACTTCATTGTATTGCACATTTCCCTGTGGCCACAGCAGTTTCCTGGGCAGTGGGGGGAAGGAAAGCATCAACCCCTCTCCTTCCTCCCTGTTGCTCCTGCATGCACTGCCTCTCTGGAGACACAGGTGGGACACACAACGCTTAAGGAACAAGGTGAGGAGGCGAGGGGCGGATGAAGAGGTGGGCCACGAGGTGAGCGGCAGGTGGAGGAGGGGGCGAGGAAGTGAGCGGTGGGCGCGGGAGTAAGGAGATGAGTGGCGAGCCAGCAGCAGAGGAGTGGGGGGATCTGGTGGTGAGCGGGGTGGGGAGTGAGGAGGCGAGCTGGGTGGGGAGTGAGGAGGTGAGCAATGGGCAGACGGTGGGGTGAGGAGGCGAGTGGCAGGGAGGGCTGGTGAGGAGAAAAAAGTGTCAGTGCGGCCACCAGCAAGAGTTGGTGGCTGCACTCTGAGGCCACCAAAAATTTTGTTGCAAGAACCCCTAGTGGCCTATATAGAGGTCTTTAGAGACAGTGGACTTTGATATGTCTTTGGGGTATTATATTTGGGATTATATAATATACCAATTAAGCAAATGTTTTTAATAATGTTGAATGTTTCATTCTCTAAATCTTAACATGTTTTTCTTTGTTTTAGAATTCCAAGTATTGTGCAATAATACAGGCTATAAGGTGCTGTTCTGCAATATACACATGCCTCATCTATGTCATAAAGTGTCCTTCCGCATACTAGTACTGGAATGTTGGAGATCTCTGGCCAAATGTCCCATTTGATAGCTATACTTATAGGCCCTCTGAGCCTGCCAGTCAGGTTCTATACTAGGAACCCATTAGTCCAGCAGAGCTACTAGCAGCCTCCCTTTTGAAGCTGGTAAGGAATGCTCTATTCAATATCAGTCTCAGCAAACTGTCTAATGATTCTAGTTTTTTCCCCAAATGATAGCTGAAAGGTAAGAATTGAATAATGGGTATTATTTAGTTCTTACTTTCCA